TCTCTCTCTCTCTCTCTCTCTCTCTCTCTCTCTCTCTCTCTCTCTCTCTCTCTCTCTCTCTCTCTCTGTGTGTGTGTGTGTGTGTGTGTGCGCGCTTATGTGCACTCATGTGTGTACTCACATTTCCAGCACTGCAGGATTGAAGACGATTGAAAAAATGCAAAAAAGAAAAAAAATCTACAATGACTGTACATTGTTCCCACCGTCATGGAGGTGGCCGAAACGTGTTCTGCCAAATATATCTTTTTTTTGGGGGGGGGCTATATCTTGGCTATATGTTGGGGGGGGGGGCTATATCTTGGCTATATGTTGAGCTATATCTTAACTTCTTGACCTATCCTTGAAGTCATGGCACAGTTCGGTCCTATTACCCAGCTTCAGAGAATGCTGGAAACCGGGTCCGGCATCCCATTCACTCGTCCAACATTGGCTTTCCCGAATTTTAACAGTGGAAAACTATCAGGAAAATAACTGGATATTGCAGACTATTAAGACGAATATGAAATGCCAAAAAAAAACAAAACAAAAAAAGTTAAAAAAACGAAAGAATTAGGGAATTGTATGTGAGGACAGGTCACCGCTACCTCTGTGTCCTCCACAGGTCCTCCCAACCAATGGGAGATATTTCGCCGACCATCTCACAGCTCTAACAATTTCAAAATCTACCTCTAAATTCCTAAAAGTCAAAAACTAACTGTTGTCAATAGGTTACCCCTACCTCTAAAAGTAAAAAAAAAAATCAACGTTTAGAGAAATTTAGACGATTTAGTTCAAAAAAACCACCTGGATCTCTCAGCCCCCACGAGTGGGTTCAAGTTGGGAATGGCCAAATGTGGGACCTGTGGCGGGCCCGTTGGACAACGTGTCCCATCGGTCATGCGGGCGCTATGTCAAGTGGAGTTATGTCTCGACCGCCTTTGATGCGCCACATGATCCTGAAAGAGCCTGACTCCAGTGGAGTTCGAGCTCGGATCTCCTGACCAAGGATAGATAAAGAGCACGCATGACTGGTTCGCTCAACATGCTGGAGGGCAGCAAATGGGCCTTGTGACAGCGGCCCGTCATGTAGTGCCGGCCACGGAGAGAGGACCAAGTCATTTTAGTAGTTCACTCATCTGCTTCCGGTGGATTTCGATCTCGGGTGTGTATTTCAACAGCTCAGGGGTGTACCAACTTAGCCAGTAGGCCAGTTGGTGACCAAGTCATGGTTGGTCTCACCTCTGCCCAAACCTTATGGAGGCCCCACACCAAGGGTATCCTTCTTTAAACCAGACCAAGGTGTATCCTTCTTCGAACCAGACCAAGGGCATCCTTCTTTAAACCAGACCGAGGGTAACTTGCTTTAAACCAGACCAAGGGTATTTAGGCCAGAGACAGACCAAGGGTATCAACCAGACCAAGGGTATCCTTCTTTGAAAACCAGACCAAGGCTAAAAACCAGACCAAGGCTAGGGTATCCTTCTTCGAACCAGACCAAGGGCATCCTTCTTTAAACCACACCGAGGGTAACTTGCTTTAAACCAGAC